TCCGCCTTGTGCTCTGGCTTTGCAGAGCAGGCTAGCGCTGAACAGGGCCCTCTATAATTACATCACTTGTTCATGCTTTTATTCTGCTGTGACTGGCCTGTGCAGTTATGGATTGGAACAAGCAAACTTTTTATGGAGAGGTTAAATCATTTGCTGCTTCGGGAAAATCATTTTCTTTCATCGAGAAACAATAGCATCACGGCTGCTCTGTCGGATCTGCTGTGAGACGTTGATTGTGACGAATATTTTCAAATGTTTTAGTTTTGCCGTAGACTCCGATCAACTGGATCCGCCATGCGTATGGTAATTTGGAGCGATGCCAGCAGCTTGCAAGAAGGCGACGAATTATGCAGTGGACTTGAGCACTATGGTCCACTGGGCTTTTAACTTGCCCCGCAACTTGACCCACCGAACGAAGAAGAAGGTGAAAGACCGTGATTTTTAGCACTATAGACGCTTAATTAGGAGTGAGGCCCATTGCATCAAATTGCGAGCAGGTCAATATATATATATATATATATATATATATATATATATATATATATATATATATATATATATATATATATATATATATATATATTGAACGCACGCGTTATTCGGAGGTCGTAGGTTCGATTCCTGCTCACGGAAAGTTATTTTTTCACCTACTTTTCTTTCTTCTTATTTACTTTACATTAGTTAGTTCTAACAACTACCCTATACATTACTTGGCATAATTGCCGGTTAGATCTCAATATATTGTGTCAAAACACGGAAAAAAACAAGCCCTCAGGTATGCACTTCTGTCCCTTATCTATATATATATATATATATATATATATATATATATATATATGGGTATAACTCATCCCCTGATGAAGGGAGGACCCCTCCCGAAACTGTTGGGAAATATATTTATCCTTGTTGACAACGCTCCCGTTGTGCCATATCCCATACCTTCACGAAGACTAACTGGCCCATTGAATTAATACTCCCACTCACTATATGTGTATATATATATATATATATAGTAGACAAGTGAAGTTACCTCCCCCCCTCATGAAAGAGTTGGTACGCCACTGCAGGTGTACACTCTGGACACCATCCACCACAGCCGGACAAGGCGCGAGTATTAGAAGCTTGCTGAGAAAGCACCTAAAAGACAATGAAAAGCGCATGTCCATGTCTTTTTGTCAGGGGGAGGGGAACGCACTTTCAAGTAACAATCTACCATATGACGGGTTCATAGTAGCCTAAACAGCTGAATGGGTGAATGTGTAAAACTGCAGAACCTAAACGTACATCCGCATGCGATTGTGTACCGTCCAGACTAAAGTGTTAATTTTAAAAAAATTGCCCGCAGCTTCCCTCGGGGGAACACTGAGGAGGATGCGGAGCATATAATTGGTTAACGGGGTGTTAAAGTGCGACTTACTTGGGTCGATGGCTAAATTGGTTAACGTGGTTGTGAAATGGGGTGTTAAATTGCGACTTACTTGGGTGGATGGCTAAATTGGTTAACGTGGTTGTAGGAGGGGGTGTTAAATGAGTGAACACGTACACACGTATGCGAAAGGGCGGCGCTGGTCGAAGGGACGTCGATCATTGTGTTTGTGGATTCGTTGGAATTCATTTCACCGCGACCTTGGACGTCGACGCGCCGTACAAACCAACCGACGAGCGGCAACTGAGCGAGCGAGCGCCGACCTTGAGTATATATACAGCGCGACGGCGCATGCACTGTCAGCTGTCGAATGTTCGAGAAGGGGGAGAAGCGCAACGGCGCATGCGCGCGCGTCAGCTGCCAATGTTCTCGAAGCGCGACGGCGCATGCGCGCGCGTCAGCTGCCGATGTTCTCGAAGCGTGACGGCGCATGCGCGCTACATTATACAGCTAGCGAATGTTCGTGAAGAGGAGAAGCGCACGCGGTGTGTAGAGGAGGAAGGGTGCACAGATGGGGGAGGAGTGAAGCGCGCGCGGTGTGTAGAGGAGGAAGGGATGCACAGATGGTGGAAGAAGGAGGAGGAAGCTTGCGGACGGCGCCGCACTACAAGCCTCGAGTATTAGATGCTCCGCATCTAAAAACATTATGGCCAACCAACTACACCGTTTTGTCACATTCAAGTTTCGGGAAATTATGTAATCAGTAAGACAATTAGTCACACTAACGACGACTTGTACTCTAAAAGGGCCTTTCAACATCTTTTCATTGGACGCAATAAAATGTACAATGTTATCACGAACGCATTATTAAAATAACAGCAGCCTGCCCTCGCTCCCCCCCCCCCCCATGCTCCGCCAGTAAGAATACATGCGAGGTTCGAAGCAAAGGTGTTCACCTAATGCTTATGGGGGAAAAATGTTGGTGAGGTCTGCTTCCTTTCGTCAGAAAACGCCACGCACGTATCATTGAAGGCAAATCGGTCTTATCCGGAAAGCTTGATTTGGCTTTCGTATGGCGGTTGGGATATTCAGGATAATCCCGTTTCGGCTGTTGATGGTGGTCCGAGAGGAGCAAGGAAGAACAATAATGATACAAAAGCGGAGGTCACCAGAAAAGTAGTTTGTGCCTCCCCTGCCCGGATGGCAAACGATTATGCAAATTTGGGCGAATCCAATACAGGCGCGCGTTGGAGAAATCCTGCGTATTCCATTGTAGCAGCGTGATACGGCGAGCATGGGTTTGGGCGTGGCACTTACGAATGGGTACTGGTGTCTCGTTCAAATGGCCAGCAGTGCGGCATGCAACATTTGCGGCAGCGAGGAGACGCTAAAGCACGTTCTATGCCCCTACCCATGATACCAGACTACATGACGTGGTATGGAAGCTAAGCTCCGTCACCTGGATCCAAGACCACGCAACGCCACGAAAGTTCTCTTGAGCTCCTTTAGGGCCACCGGACTTCACAAGTGCTTGTCAACTAACAGTGCGAGAACGTGTTGTCTATAGTTTCAAGCTAACTGTTCATCCATATATTCCTTACTCTTCTTCTTCCTTCTCTATCCTTTCTTTTCTATTAGTCCCCCTTCACCCACCTACAGTGTAGGGTAGCCAACCCAATTAGAGCTTGGTTAGCCTCCCTGCCTTTCCTCTCTGTTTCTCTCTTCCTCTCCTGCTACTCGGCGCGAGGCAAACGGACAAGGTGAGGCGGCGGGAAGCTGGGAAAATAAAATTGATATGTGCAGAAGATGATGACAGTGTGCTGTGAAGTACTTAGCACATGTGCAACGTACGTGCATGTTTTGAAACACACCTCACCAACGTCACTGTGCGCAGGCGTTAGTTCTATAGCTCGGAAGAGAGGCCACTCTGAGTTTAACATTTCAAAAATGCTCCCGTTACGCGCAAGACTTTTCTAACTTCCGTTTGATGACATTATGAAATTCGGTGCGAAATCGGTTGTGGTTTACAGAAGACAGTGGGACGCGTAGAATGGTTGCTATGTATGTAGCAGGGGCGTAGGCAGAATTTTTTTCAGGGTGAGGAGAGGCACCTTCTTGATAAGTACTGGCACAAATACTATGTAAATACTATAATAATGCCTAGCATATAGACATTTACGTTTCATTTGTGTGTTCTTTGTTTACCATGTAATGTACATATGTAAACATATATTTTTGTGATAATTTTTGTTTTGTGTGTGGATGTTGGGTTCCTTCGCTATATGCTGTTGAATTGTAATTGATGTTCACTGTTCGTGAGAATATATTTCTCTAAACGCAACCCTTTAAAATGATCATTTTTCGCTCTGTATGTCATGGCGAAAGGCATATAGAGGAGTGACGCCACTGCTATATCTAGCGCTCTGCATGTGAGCGAGGGCAGTCAATATGATGTCAGAAGCGAGAACTTAACCTGGGAGGTGTTCCTGATATTCCATAATCTTTTTCATAACCGCGAAGTTCGTCACAATTATATTCAACACGTCGTATTTGAAGTCATCGACGACTGCAGAACTCCCCGCCATATACGTGCAGCGCCTGAGTTAATCGTTGAGAGACCTTCGCAAGCTTGGTCTATCTTCTTGGACAATAAGGCTGCTTTTCAGTGTTTGATGTCACCCTTTTTCATGTACCTAATGATCAGTTAGTAGCCAAAATAAGGCTTATTCACCACCAACAAACCGAGAAATAGCCCAGCATAGCGTACGAGTAAATAACAGGTCATAGTGGTACATATGGCAACCACCGCGCAGATGAGTCCGCTCCATCTGCACATGACGGCACTCAACCCACAACTTTACCGTTCAGAAGAGCGAAAGCAGCTACAAGGCTTCATTCGCTGGCGCTTCGCCTCACAGTGATACAGCGGAACTCAACAGAATTCCCAAACGCTCGCCTACATAACTTGGAACACGATCTCAAGCTTCGTTTTCCGTCAGGAATATCTCAAGCTTAGGAGACACTTTTGTGCCACCTGTGGTGTGAAGTGGCCTTTCCAGATGCATACTCCTGCCTTAATGGAATGGGCAGCACCTCTACATGCAATATCCGCAGCTGCGAAGAGAAAATTGCCCATCTTCTGTGTGAGCACTCCCATTTATATGCGTCAAGATGAGAACTTACCGAAGCAATAGATAGAATGATCACTGTTTGTGAGAACGAAAAATTCTGGGTTATTGGCCGAGTCCATTCTAGGCCCAGAAGGCTTTGAAAGCATTATTATGTTTTAGAGGAAACAGGCTTTAAGCAGTATCGTATTCTCTGTTCCTTTATTTTTCCTTCTCTGCCTGTCCCCCTTTTTTTTTTTTTAAGAGCTCTTTTCTATCATCTTTTACTTTCCTTATCCCATTCCCCAGCACCGGGTGGCAAGCCTGTCTAAGAACTTGCTAACCTTTCTGCCCTTCCGCTTAATCCTTTTTTTTTCTTTCTCGGGACCTGTTCCTTTCTCTTTTTTTTTTCTTTTTCTCCTATCGTCCTTTTCGCTCTATATCGCCCTAGGGTCTTTACCCTTTGGTTTTCAAGTAGGGGCATTTTCGGCATGCTGAATGAATGAACTACATCCATTCTCCCGCAGTGATGCTGCCTACGCGCTGGCTGTGCCTCCTGGCCGTGTTCCTGGTGCAGTGTCGAGCGCAGCAACACCACAGGGGGGTATCGCCCGAGCGGTCGGCCTTCTTCGGCACCATCAAGCAGGATGCCGCCGTGCCCGCAGAACAGAGGAACTACGCCTTTTTCAGGTATACACAGACACACTCCTTCAAGCACGCCCGGTGGTTTGTCACGTAGCTGCTCATACATACAATGTGCGACGAAAGCACTGGTGCAGTGTCTTGGGACGTGTTCAAGCAAGCCGTGGCAATAATATGTGTTATTACAAGTGAGGTAGAAGACCGGGTGATGATAGAAAGTTGAAGAGATGTAAAATTCATCATCATGGGATGTTGCTAGAGTTGACGTTTTGACAAGCGGCCTTGTCTCGAAGTTGCAGTCTTGAGGAAAGGAATGCCGCTTGCCTTAACGTTGGTTCCAACGGCATCACATCTATTATCTCGTTCGTTTATACGCCTACTCATAGAGAAGGATGAAAAACCAGACGCGCATACTGTTAGCACCTGTAGCATCTGAACGTTTCTTGCTTCCTGACCATTCTTTTACTGTAAGTTTAGGCCTATTTTCGGAAGCCTTTGGAAGATGTAGCGGCGTTTAAGGTCACTGCGTTGTAACCTTTACTATAATATCTCTGCGCTAAACATAAGTTTCCCGTCTCATGCTCGCAACGCCTAACGCTCGCTTCCAATTTGCGCAGTGTGGAGGCTATCCGAAATGCCGGAACGTCGCCATTGCGACGTGTACGCTATCACGATGGGGCGAACTGTGCGAAAAGTTTTCCGTGACGCTGGGCATGGCGCGATCTGAGCAAATATTATTCCTGCTCTGTTGTACGTCGACAGTGAGGAGCGGGCTGGGTGTCATCGTAATTAGGTTTGTCCCGGAAGGCCAACTTGTGAAAAAAGACAAAAAAAGGAGGTGTGACCTCAATGCTAATGTTACTTTTCGTGTGGTGGTTGCGACATGTGGCTGAAATTCGTTGAATCGTACACACTACGCCAGTGCACTTCTTATACGTTTTATTTAGGGCTTGATGCCTATGCTTTTGTTGACGTGTTTTGTACAAACGTGGAAGTTACGTTGTCAGCGCTGCTGCACACTTCGCAGGCGTGGTATAGGCTGAATAAAACATGAGGAGACGCATGTGAGAACAGATATGTAAACGAACATATCCGTACTGTTTTACACTTTACTACGAATGACAACAAAATAGCAACTATTTATGTGTGACTTTATTATTATCTTACTTTAAACCGACGTAGAGTGACAGTGATGTCATTCATTGTGATTTTTACACTACCTTTGTGCATTCCCCCACACGCATAATTTTGGTCACAACAGCGCTACTATGCGGAAACGGGTTATAGAGATTCGCAGTAATACAAGTGAGGTCGGTTGCGCGAAGTTTCCAGTTAGGTTCACGCCTTACGCCTATATATTCCCTAACCGTCACAAATGTGCAAAAAAAAGCGTCACCACTTCCTGCTCAACGAGAGTGACTCGCAGCGCGAAACATAGCGATGAGTTTTCCGCGAGTGACGTGATGGCACAGAATGAACTTTCAGTGCGACATCGATTATTTTCAGAAGGTGCACCGCACACATAATGAGACTCGCAATTTATTGCTTTTGTAAGCGTCGAGTGGCGTTACGAAGCATCGCAGGTGTCTCCGAATGCGAACAAATGCCGACGAAACTTCCGAATGATTTCCGTTAGCTGTAATAGGCTTGAAAAATCGGTGGCCAACTCAGGCGCAAAAAAAAAAAGGAGGAAGACTGAAGAAAGAACGTGTCTACACATGCCAATTTTTATGCATCGGAGAAAAATGTATGCTTATAGTGCGAAAAAAATGCATGTGAGAAAAGTTCCGCATCGTTTCCGAAAGACGGCTTTGTTAGAAGCTTACAAGCGAAGCGATTATGTGACGAGACAGATACGTCAACTGCATATCTTGCTTTGAGCTTAACAAAAAAGTTTGCACGTAGGTGTTTAATTCATTTGTGGCAATGACCTGCAACAAGTAATCAGTTCTTTCATTATTTAGTAAATTGCATAGCGCCCCGATCGTTGAAGCCCTTTGAAGCTGAATCTAAAATAAATAAACGTATATATATGGTTCTTTTCAGCGTCCCCTGATTTTGCCACGTGCATTACTCTTTTAAAGAGACACGTCAACTACCTTCCGGGTGTCGCACGATTCCCCGAAGAGAGTATTATGATTTCTAGAAAGTTCAGACATTTCTTCGAGATTCGTATGTGTTGCAACTCAGGTCTCACAACACAGGGTTAGCTTATTCACAGGATCAGATGACTCTTTGCTATTTTGTTTTGTCTTGTTGGTGTTGATGCTGTAGTTGTTGTTTTCATATTTCACATAGTGAAGACCAAGATCATAACGGTCACACTTTCACTTCCTGTACCTTGTTCTAGCTTATGATGTGTCAATGACGCAATCATGTATCCAACTAAACGTTTTTAAACTATTGCAAGCCTAACAATCTGCTCTCTTTTTCCCCTCTCTGTACCTCTCCTTCCAACCTGAACACATACCTCTCCTTCCAACCTGAACACATCACCCACCCGCGGCCCTCCGATTTCTTGTCCTGAACGCATGTCTTCGACCTCGACAACTGCACCCGATCCATCCGATCTTCCTTCCCGGGGCAAACGGCACCTCCACAATAATGGACAAACAAGGAACGCTCTGCTAAGCGGCCGAGTACCGTACCGGAGTTCCGCACTGTTCTACAACGAGCCCGAGCGGCGCGGTCGGTCGGGCCGACACAGGATGTCCTTCTACGACATGGGTCTGGAAAAGCGGTTCCCGGAGGTTGACCAGAGGGGTTTCCACGAAGACATCTTCGAAGAGAGTTTCGGAGACTTCAGCCCCGTCAAATAAGGCCCCGGCCAGATGTGACGCGCGAAACCCAACATGCTCCTCGCCCACCAGCCACCAAGCCGGCGATGCCGTACATTCAATGTCGATTGTTCGTTCATAAACCAAAAACTACTCGCGCCTTGTCAGCGCTGTGGAGACCTTGCGCTGGGAGCACCAGAAGTGTAAATGGAACGTGGGTCGCGTTTGTGTTACTTGCGGGACCTTGTGCCACTCGAGCAGCTGCCAAGGCCTATGCTTTCATAACGTGTCTGCTGCTGCATTACGTTACTCTGGGTAAAGCTATAAGCGATGTAGCGTTTTCGTATGCTTTCACAAGAAGTGTGGGCACTGCGAAAAATTATCTAAACCACTGTACACAGGCTGGGTTGGTTGAATGCTCCATTCTCCTTTTTCAGACCGATTTCTCATTTTCCAGTGCAGGGTAGCGAACCAAAAACATTCTGCTTACCCCCCCCCCCCCTGTCTTCCCTTTATGCATATCTTCTTCTATGTAAACGTATAAGCAAGAAAGATCATTTTCAATGCTTGGTACAAGGCTAAAGCTAAACTATACTGATGTACACTTTAGAGTTATGTGCGTATTTAAAGGATCAATACGACAACGCGCACCTGCTGACAGTCACTCAGGACTTGGATGATGGTAGCGTAAACAACCTTTTTTTGTCTCAAATGAAGTGTTTGTGGGTGTGTTTTATTTCAAACTGCATGGCACGAGCTGCAGAACAAGTCATGTTTGGGCGATCGCTGCATGACCGCAACCACTGCATTCGTGGTAAAGCGTTATCTTGCCCAGATAGTTGTGAATGCCTGTTTCGAGTTATCGACCGGAGCAATCAGCGAGACATAATGCCACGAAATCGTCACAAAGACATGAAAGTAATTTTCTTATTTTTTCTTTGCCATCAGAGCCTTCTTTTACGACGCTCTAATATCGACTGTTGTGTTATAATTCTTCTTTTAAATTATGGCATCACTATAGGTCATTTTGCTAGGCTGTGTGACAGAGAGTCATTCAACTACTCTTTTAAATGCCAGAAGTAAAAAAAAAGTATAAGACTATCGTTTCCTTCCTTCCTCGGCCCGTCAGTTGCTGTCAACGTCTATGCTCCAAGATATTGCATCCGACGTTTTTATTGTTTCACTCTATCAGACGACCGGGCACGTCACTCCCCATTTACTTCACTGAAACATAAAACAAGCTCACCCGGACATGTCATCAGAGCTCACAGATGACGGAATTCCCGCATGGTTGCTGCGGAGGCTTCAAGCACACAGGATATCATTTGACAAAGGAAGTTGTTGGTATACACCAAGCGAGAACGCACCTTAAGTTGCACGCTTTCCGCTTGTACAATCTCAGAAAAAAAGATTCTTTTCGCTATTTTGTGGGTGTTGTGACATAGAAGAATTGGTATCGAGACGTATGACTCTCTTTAACGAGACACGTGAACTCTCTTTGGAAAACATTGTTCTCTCGCCATGAAGTCGTGACACCCAAAAAAAGAAGTTAACGTGTCTTTTTAAAAAGAGTCACGCGTGGCCGATCAATGGACTCATATATACTCTTTTTTTTTATTAGAGTGCAAGCGGAACGTGAGCACGCGAGTCTTATATTAGACGTCTACTAAAATCCTAGAAACCCCTTCCTACGCCAAAATGCAGTTGCACCAGCACCCTTACTAAAAGGTTAATCAGTTCTCGCAACTTGCAACATTTATGGGATACAACACAAGGTTAAAACGACTTATCATAAAGCGGGACGACTTCTTCGGGGTAAAAGATTGATACATGCACTGTTGTAAGCCTGGAGACACTTCTTGACGCAGTCTGGTGGTTCCATGCGCAAGGTTTCTACACTGTTGCATTTGTAGTGTTGTCAAAAGAAAACATGTTCAAAAGCATTTTCTGAAGAGAGGGAAAGTGCAATGAACTAGAGAAACGGTTAAAAAGCTGGGAATGCCCGCAAACAATGTGACATGAAACTCGATCTCTGTGTGCATTAAATGTAAATAGCTCGTTGCCGTAAAATTTATGCTTTGCTGTGTTCGAGCTCCTTAGTCCTTAGATGAAACTTCAAGTGATTTTTTTCTCCTGCCGTCAGCAGCAAACGTAATTATTTTTTCATTCCAAGCTTTCTGTACAGAAAATCTTGTTTCTGAGGTCATTCCATGTGAATAAACATGTTATACCTTTAGCGCTACGACGCAGCTTGAAAAGTGGTTCTCCCCTGCGCACCAGTGACAATCGACTGCGCAGTCTTAAAGCGTGAAATTATAGGCTTACTTTGTAAGTTTTATGTATTTTTATTGTAACAAAGACACTGTAGGCACCAAAATCCTCACTGATTTGAAATGGCTAAGTTGTCCTTAGTCTTCACTATACGAACAAGTGAACGTTGGGTGATATTCTAACAGTAAAAATACGCCTGCTTAAGACGCACGCAAAGAGTTGTCAGGCTGTCACGCACTTCTTTGTATTGATGACAGCGTGAACGAATATGTCTGTTCAATGACATCACAGTGAATACAAACTGTTAGACGCTGCACACGTAGCCTTGTGGTGATTTTTATGTTATACAAAATAGGCAAGAAAAAGACATGACGCATGAAAAGGCGCTGGGTTCTTTCAGTTTACGCGAGAGTGGAAGTTTGACTTTCTAGATTCGTGCAAAAAATGTGGTTTCCACCTTATTTTGGTGCTTTCGGTTTCTCATGTGACTTTGTACAACGTAGAGTAAACGTAACCAAATCTTACCTATATTACCACGCGTGTCAAACTGCATATCCTTATCATGGCTATAGGAACGCCAAAATTCTGAAACCCCTTTTCTGTAACCAAAGCCACAGAAGGCTCTGTCATTACGGCGATTATTAGAATACACCGACTATTTACGCCATGGTCGGCGACAAATCGTCATTCAGCCGCTGCATTGTGGAAGTTTATTTGTAATCTGGCGACCGTGTGCCAGCCGCTCCTATCACACACCTCTGAATGACTGACGCGCAGTGTGAATAATCGGAGTACCCTTGCTATTGAATATGTGCTTACTGATGAACAATAAAAGCTGATGGACGTATTGCTCTTACGGAAATGCATTTGCTCCGGGCACGCAAGACCGGGCTGCCCGCTAATGTATTGATCAACACGTCCAATCTATAGGCGAAAACAACTTGATGAAAGATGGCGCATCGTTCTTTCTCGTGATATTTGTAGTTCGGAGGGTCACAACACTTGAGCAAAAAGTTCCCCGAGAATTCACGAGATGCTTTGCGAAGAGCGCGATGTTTGAGTGGCATAGCACAAGAGTGCGAAGGCTTTCACGGAAACCTACGAAAATTTCTGGTGTGACCGACCAGCACAGCATTCCATGTCGTCTCCCGCACGTCCCCTTCTGCTCGACTCTGGTTTTCGAGAAGCTGTCAGTACACCGTCCGAAAATTTTGTTAGACACGCTGCCATTTTTCAGTATAAAGGCCAGATAACGGGACAAACAATACAAAAAAATGTCTTGAATATAACCTATAGACCCTAATAAAGAGCTCTATTTTGTCCACAAGCTTTTTAATCGTTTGCAGTTTGCCGGGTTACCGACAGCGCCAACGGGCTCAGTCGAACTGGTAGTGACACTCTGGTGGCGCGAAGGTCAATCGGGCAAACATCAAAGTACAATTGCTGTAACTACCTTGTAATATATACTGCAATGCTGGCGTAAATTTCTGGCAGTGGCGTAATCACCGGGACGTTCAATTTTTCATAGATTTAAATGTAAAGCCAAATAATTACACTTAAGGAACACACAGACACACACACGCTCATGCACACACGCTTTCTCGCGGGTGTGGTTATGGGTTTCTGAATGTGATGAGACAGAAATTCTTCAAACGTCGCACTATCGCCAGTTCTACAAACGCCCTTGCGCTTACCGAAATATCAGATCTCGGAAGCATTATACTATTAAACTCTACTAAATGCAAAAGCCGTAATGTTAGCAGATTTGGGTGCACGTTAAAGAACCCCAGGTGGTCAAAATTTCCGGAGCCCTCCACTACGGCGTCTCTCATAATCATATGGTGGTTTTGGGACGTTAAACCCCACAAATCAATCAGCCGTAATGTTAGACAAAGACTACGGTAAACGTACGAAACGACACAATTTCCGCATCAGAACTTACTACACCGACAAGATACTGGCGTAACAAGAATTAGATAGCCCAATCGGCGACATGAAAGAATGACACATTATGAAAGAACTCTGAACCCTGACAGGCGCGTTTTTTTTAATATATATATCAACAAGTTTGCGTGCGGTTTTTATACAGCATGTATTAAATTATTCAATCAAAATATTTCCACTGGAGCATGTATTCAACATCAAGGAATTAAAGGTTAAAGCTTGCAACTCGTCTCTGAAAATGAGAAAACTTGTTGCGCGAATGCTTAAGTCAAAACGTACCCTCCTGCTCATACACGCAAAAATATCCGAGCCCCAGCATGTAAGGCGGGCGATACTCTCAACATAAATAGCTCGACTGGGACATTTAAACAATTCATTTTTAATGTTCATTGAATTTTTCACGCCGCTGAAATGGATCCATTTCGTGTGCGGCGGTCATACACATTTTGCAGCTTTTTTTTTAAATTGTTGAGAGAAAAGAGTAATTTCACAGACATACGTCCATATGCACAGAAGCATCGGGTAAAAAGCCGGGCCTCTTAATGTTGTGACTGGCGTCTTGAGAGATTTCAGAAAAAAAAAACGGCTCTGCTCGAGTTAATTGCTTCGCTCTAGGTCTTATGCGGCTTTGGTTGTTCCCACGCGACTCAGTGTACATTTTGCGACGCTATTTGCGACTTGAATGCCTCGGCATGCATCTTGTGCGTCGCGAAATGAACTCGAAAATTAAGTTACGTACGACACAGCCCCAAAAGACAAAACATAAGTTGTTTTCCAAAAGACCCTCGAAGCGGCAGCGTTTCAGCTGTTTTTGTGGAGCGGGAACTTGGAAAGACGAACAAAAAACGAAGATTACAAGTTAAGCAGTGTTTTGAATACATGGAAGACCACTATGGCGCCACCTTCTTGTTTTTCAGCTTCACTGGCATCTGCTGTTCGCGAAAACAGAGGCCATTTTGGGAGTCGCTAAAACGGATTACCCGGTCTGCCACGAGCTCAAGTGCCTGTCTTGCCTTTGAAGAGTGGAAAACTTCAGAGCTGTTGTTTTGTCTTTTTTTTTTCAGCTAGACGCAAACTCATTCGGTTCTCGATGGTCGAGCCATCGCGAAAAGCCCAACCAAGAGCGCAACGCCTCGTTAACATCGTTGGCTGCAAACACACGGAACGAACGGTGGACTTTAAGGTTAAAGTCGAAGGGTTTACTCCTCTTTTTTGCCTAATTTGAACACTGCATCTTGACTACGACTGATCTCGTCGAGTCAGCCATATAAGTGCTTACTTGAGCTGCCGTTTAATGTGTAAATGGTGCTTCAGAATGTATTTTTATCTTTTTTGTATTAGAAAACTTCGCGGAGCTCGACTAAATAAACCGAACAAGCAAAACATGCAATGTATTTATTTAGAAGTAGGGGAAACGTGACTTCTATCATTCTCGATACACTATCAAACTCTCTTTCTGAGTCACTCCAAGAGGTGGTTCACGTGTGTCTTTAAAACATGACTGATCCCTCTGCCATAGGAATCGGTATAACACGAAAGTAAAACGTGCCTTCGCAGAAGTTGAGCGTTCATTGTGCATTGTTTCGATACAAGGTCGAAGTAATGAATGCTATAGCAACAAATTGTAAAGTCACTCGAAGAATGGCAAGCAGCTCCAAACACGCTACGGGCGGCTCAAACGGAATGGACGCACTAAAAGAACATACACCGAATGAGTGAGACCTAACACAGCTCGACAAGTGCGCTGCTCAAACACAAAGGAGGACGCACGAAGCGAGTGCACAAGCGTAAACAAGGGCGCATGAGCGCGAACTAACAACTATCGGAGTTGTAACTTCTTTGTGTGTGAGCGGCGCGCCCTCTTTTTGCAAAAGCGGCCACTGCAGCGAGTGAACGCACCTTCACAACATTCGTGCTCTCTGTGGCTCCAACAGACACTTGCAGTGAGCGAACAAGACGCACGATGTGCGTGAGCATCACAACGCATGGGGCGACGATCTTTAGAGCGGGCCCTAAGAGTCTGTCACGCCTTCTCGCTTGTAATAACGGAACCACTCTGAAATCACCGAGCTCCGAGTGCGACAACGGTAAATGGTGTATATGAAAAGCTCACCGTAAGTACTCTGAAAAACGTTCTTTTCGTGGCCGTGTCGTCTCACGCCGCGAGCTTTGGAGTGAAGGGCTGTCGGTTCGACTCCCGGCGATGCAACCTTTTCCTCTCGTTTTTTTTTTTTTTTCATCTGTTAGTGAGTATTTTCAACGTCATATCCGTGACGTAAGTACGTCTCTGGAGCCATGATACACCGCGGTATAAAACACTTCCGTGTTATTATGTGACAAAAGAGATTTAGTGGACTCTGGCAGCTTTTTTGTTGTTTTTTTTTTGTTTTATAATAGCGTAGCGTGCCAATGCTGTGCCTCTTTACGCATCCCACAGTGGCGGCGTCCATTCGCGTAGGGCCCGCTGTTACTTTGCACCACCCCCCGCATTAAAAAAATTGCCTTAACCAACTTGTCATCACCAATATGTTCTGTAGGCCCGCACAGCCACTCTGTAGACGCACAGCGCCTGCGTATTACAGTAACAAATTATTCCTGTTCTCCCCACGTCTTCACCAACAAGGACAAGCCTACTGGTTTAGACATTGGCTCCGGCCTTAGGTGTCGCTTATAGACCACTTCTTAACTGCTCCTGTTTTGCAACAACATTTCGGTGTTAGTGATGGGTAGATTTTAAGAGCTTAAGCTAGAGAGAAGCACACAATGTAAAGTCATTTTCTCACAAGCTGCAAATCTACCTCCTTCTTGTTTGTAATGGACACACAGCTCGCGATTGGTGCCTGGACTTCTTGAAAAACGCATTTTTCTATTAAAACCCCGCAAAATTTTGGTGAATAAATTGAAAAAGCCATTGCTCTTCATGTGATTATTGTGCGTTGCAATGCCGAAAAAAATATAGAGTATGGTTAGAATTTTGTAAGAATGTGAAAGCAAAAGCCTAATGTGACTTACTGTTGATCTGCTCTCACGGCCGCAGGCACTCTCTCTCTCCCTTCAAGTGAACCAGCGGAACTATTATGTTCATTTCAGTGCCGTATAAGTTACACCTGAGTGAGCCACCACTGCAAACTGGAGAAACGGCTCGAACAAGAGCATATATGAAAACAAAAGATCTAAAACGTTCTACAAAAGTATCCAGACTGCCACCAGTCAGCAGATGTAGCTCACGCAAGCACGACGAAATCGCTCGAACACTGCTACTCCCTTCTCGTTCTGCTTGTGTCCGTTACGACCACCGTGCTTTTTTCACCCATAAAGCGCGATTTTGCACTTCGTTCCTGGCCCGCTTCTGGTGCGACATGTTAACCCAAATACTTCCGCAAAAAAAAAATGCTCCCGTACAAGAACGCACACACACATTGATGTCACCTGTACGGAAGCGTCGCCTGGAGTAATTCCTGAGGTGCTGTCGTCATACAGCGCACGCCCGGAATGTGGATTTCGATCCAAACAGCTGTCCAATAGATTCTCTCCCCTAGCCCTTCTCGCACGGGGCCTTCGAGTTCTCTCCATATTTTCACTTTCGCGCATCCCTTATATTTGGGACAACTGTAGAAGTCATTGGCTATTATACTACACACTCGTCTGCACCTTTCTGATAAGCCTTCTCTCCCCGGAATCACTGCGTTTATTGTGGCCCGTTGGCCACGGGTTTCCATCGCGCAGAATAACATTCCTCGCTTCCTTATAGCCGTATGGCGGAATAAGACTCCACACTTTCGGTGCCCAGCCATTGTAGCGGCTGAACTCCGCAGTCTGTGAGACACGAATTTTTGATCTCACGCTTTAAAATTCCTTCTTTCTCAACACGGGAGCGCCAAAACGCTCGTCTGTGGAGTGTTCTGGCATTGT